CCGGTGCGTGTTCCCGCCGCTTGCAGGGCCTCTCCAGGCAGGTTCGGTCCCCAGCGACGGCCGCCCGCCCTCAGGCTCGGCCGCACCCCCACACCGGCGTGAACTCCTGCCTCCTTCCCTTCTGCCCGCCCCCGGCTTCAGCGCCTTGCTCCCCGACCCCCTTCCGCCTCTCAGCCATGGTGTTGCCACGCTTCTCAGCCGCTGTGAGTTCCCAACGTGCTTCTTACTTGCCCGCTTCTGAAAATTTAGGTGGGATTTCCTGGCAGCCGCTTATTCCCGCCCCCAGCCCGTAGCACTCTGGCAGCTCCCGTCAGTGCCCCCAAGCCCACGGCTTTCGCTGCTTGGCTAGGCGGCCCTTGCCTGGGCAGCCACCAGAAGTGGTTTCTGGTCACCTCTCACCTGAACGCCACCATCTTGCCACTGCTAGTAAGTGCCCCAGACCGGACTGCTGCTTCCTAATCTTGTACTTCGACGGTCCACTCCCTACCTTTGGTTTCTTTCTCGCCTGAACCTCATTTTCCTTCTTCTCTTCTGCATCCTCAGTTCAGTCAGCCCCGTGCTTCCTCACAGCCATGGGCAAGAGGTCCTGGTCTTTTCGAATGCCTTACAGACCTGATCCAAGCTTCCCAAGTCTGTCAGTCCCTGTCGAGACACAAGCAGTTCTCATCAAGCATGGGAAGTGGTGTTCTGTACATTCGAAATTCAAGCCGGGTGTCACTATTTTCATTTACTGAAGCGCCTTCATTGGGTATGACAGTCACTACAGAATAGGGACCAGGGAGAAAGTCCTAAAACCTGTGCTTGGCATAATGTAGCTTGAAATGCATCTAGCAGCTTCTGGATCTTTTTAAAAATTATTGTATTAATTTGGATTGCCTTGGTTTGGTTTCATTTCAGAACGAATGCTCTTCCAGTTTTGCCTGGGTTTTGGGTGTAAATTAGCAGCAGTGCATGAAACTTTTGTTTCTAACAAGAAAGTTGCTATAAAAACTTTTGCTCTTGCTGCTACAGCTTGCTGTAAAAGCTCTCCTGTGATTAAAAATGCTTCGTTTGCTCCTGTGACTGTAAGAATCCCTCACTTCCTTCTTTAAATTCACGTCTAATTAAAAAAACAGTACATCATGGTTAAATAAAACTGTACCCAGGATAACCCTGATTTCCATATGCAGATTTATCTGCACTGACAGCCCCCTCTCCCTCTCTTAGTCTTTCTGTTTCCTCTCTCCCTCCCTCTCTCTCCCTCTTTCCCTTCCCCTCTTTCTCTTCCTCTCTTTTTGTCTCTCTTTATGTCTATTGTACATTATGCCTGAATAATTTTCAGCGCTTTTTTTTTTTTTTCCTCCCCTCTTGCACGCACATGCTAAAATAACGAGACAAAGATGCAATGTGTTGCTGCAGCCCCTGTCTCTAGGACAAAACCAAGAAAGCTCGTGATTGCAATACCACGGTTCCTTTTTTTTTTTTTTTTCCTTTTTTTTCCCCACCCATGCTCGGTGATTAAACTTCCCCAGGATAGGGAAGAAAAAGAAGCTGGGAATGAAATAGGGTTGAAGAAAAATCCCACTGCTGCAGCTGCAGCCAGTGGTGTCTGCTGCCAGATGTGCTAAGGTTCCTGGGGTCCTTGACACTAAAAGGCAGTATTAAAATATTTGGAGACAAAAGCTGCATCCTCAGTGATCGTTTTCTTTATTTAACATGGCAGCAGGCACCGTGTGGGGGAAAAATCAACATGCTGGATGTTGAATTGGACTTTTCTCCTTTCTAGGATGAAAGGATGTTATCTATCCCGTGCCAAGAGGGACCTGAGGTAAGAAAGCTGATCCAGCTCCTGCTTTTTCATAGTATATGTCCTAAGCATCTTTTCTGAAACAACCTATATATATATATATATATATATATATATGTATATGTATATTTATTTATTTCTGTGTTTGTGTATTTTTGTATTCGGTTTCGAGTCAGTAAGTGGTAATGTGGGGTTTTTTTTCCTGCCTTCACATCAACGCAGAGAAAGTTAATTCACAATATATATTCAGAGCTTGTTCGTAAGGGTCATTCTGTGGTTTTTTTTTTTGAATACGTTTTTGTTTCTAGAGAAGACTTCAGCAGTGACATCATGGTCGACTGCTGATATTAAAACCGATTTTCAAAGTCTTAAAAAAAAAAAAAAAGGCCAGTAACTTTGCGATAAGAAATTGTGCTGGAGATTCATGCTCTATTTTTCGGTTGCACTCTAAATATTGGAAGTCTTATTAAAGCGATAGTGAGATTTTTTTATTATTATTATTTCTAGCACAGAAGCGATGAATGCTGCATAATTAAGTACAGTATTTAATTTGGCTGTTGTGAAGCAAAAGAATAAGGTAATAATTTTTATTGTACTAATCAGACTCAAGATGTTCTCTGTGTTAATTGGGTTAAAAAAATTGCAGTACTTATTAGAAATTCTAATTTCACAATGCAGCACTGACAATAAGCTCAGCCAGTGAATTATTCACATCTTTAATTTGCTCTCTTAATGACAGTGTTCTGTAATCAGAGTGCAGAGACTGCTTCCTATGCATTATGTATGATGTTCAGGACTTAAATGCAGGACATTATGAAGCCTCTCAGTGGCTCAGTAATTAGTTTTCCACAAGACAGGGCTTAGATATTCACAGATAAAAGTCTACAGTTGAGATAATGTTAAGGTGGTGACTCATGCTAACAAAAGCAGGGAAGTTTAAATTTAATGCTGAAACTGCTCTCCATTCTCCCTCATCGTGCGTAGGTGCAGGGGGAGGGGAAGAAAGTCTTCAAAACTAGCCCGCCATGGTGAGTACGCTGCGGACAGCCCAAGGGGGCAAACCGGGGGTTCATTTCAGTTTGGAAGCCCGTTTTTGGCAACTTTGTTGATTGGAGGGTGGAAGGTGGAGTTGCGTTTTGTTCTTCTTTTTAAAGGTTGTGAAAAAGGGAATAGTGGTCACACCATCCAAGAGCAACCACCTCTAGGATATATTAAATGAATTTTAGAAGATTTTATATGAAACACAGGCGTTTGTAACATTGTCAAATTATGGTGTTTTGAATGGGAGCTACTTCGTTACGTGTAGAAACTTTGAGAACACCTGATGCTTGCTATATTGCTGTACTATTTCAGCTGTCATGGTCTTTACTATATATGCATTTTAGAAAACGTTATTTTTCCAACAGCTTAGTTCTCATCATCCAAAAGGTGACTTATTGTGCAGGTTTGTTCTTTTTTCTTTGGATCATTTACCTATGTTATATCAAGTGATTTAATTGTAGGGAATGTGCATGGTTATGTAACTTTCCTTCATCTATATGCTGCTTAGTATAGAATATTGAAATAAAGTTGGAAAATGTTACTTTTTCCATACTTAGTCACTAGTCAGACTGGCAGCTGTACCTTTGTCCTGTGTTCTAACATTAGAACAATCATAAATTTCTACCGGAAACAAAATACCTGACTAGAGGAGATTATTTACTTATTTTGTGTTAACTCTCCAAAGGTTACTCTGAAATAAATATAGTCTTGTGCACTGTTTACAGGATTGTGATTCTGATTATTAAAGATGATATACCAATAAAAGTTTTAGGCTTAAGTTTAAAAAAAGCCACTAAAGTTCCCCAAAAAAGCAAAATATTTTAAAGCTAATTCTTTTTTTTTTTTTTTTAAAAAAAAAAAAAAAAAAAAAAAAAGTTTACCAAAGACTAGATCTGGAATTTGGTGTTATTAGCAGCTGTTACTAGTGTTTTCTGACCTTAAGGCAATTTACTGTCATTTCTCTTAGCAGATGAAGTGCCGTACACTGTGAGCAGATTAGACATTATGTATTGTCCAGTCCTGAAAGTAATTATTGTTAAACTGTTGAATAAAGAAGATGCAGATTAGATCAATGTAAATAGGTGATCCATAGCTAGAAGATTCTATCAGAATCCAAGGGATTGTCTACATGAAGAAATTGAGTCTTGCAGAAGATGTCTTTCATTCCAAGTCAAGTCCCACAGCAAGCGGTACTGTAACATGGTGTCACTGTCATTACATAGCTACATTTCTTTGGTCAAAATAGACATACTGCCCACCCCCTCACTCTTCCTTCAAAGCTAGGATCAGTAAAATCTGCCTTTTTAAATGAACACGTACCTGTTTTCATAAAGATCTGTTATGATTACTTACCCAAGTTATCCCTGCATTTCACTAGTTTTCCCATTATAAAGCTTTTCCTGCTTTCTGATCTTAAACTTGCTGAAAGTAAATTACTGGAACCACTTTTTGCACAGTGGTTACAGGGAATTTATTTTCCTCTTTGCAGCAGACTTTTATGTATTTGAGATTCTTAGTCATGTTTTCACTGTGTTCTTCTCTTATGGTAAGTACTTGTGACTGACCTGATTAGTGATGTCTGGGTGTGAGCCATCATATTGAAAAGAATGTCTGAAGTGTTCAGTCCTCAGAGGATTGTTTTGAGGTGTAGAAGCACTATTGGAGAGTCAAAATTTTAGCCTGTGCTCCTGTTGTAAAGCAGCTTGAGTGGCCAGAATAAATTAAAATCTGAATTTTTCCACATAACTCCTGCCAGATTGGACAATCCAAGTTTTAGGAACTACAACAGTCAGATAAGAACTCTTTTTTATGAAAGTGGCAAAGATGTTAGTGGCAACCAGAAATTAAGGTCCAGGGTTAACTGTGCAGCAAAGATGAACAGTGTATTTTAGATTAAAAAAAAAA